GGAAGTGGCCGTGGGTTTGGAAGGTGCTGCCTGAGGATCTTTGGTGAATCTCTGCAGAGCATCTTGTAGATGGTACACACTGCTGCGACTGAGCGTCGGTGGGGGGAGGGAGTGGGATGTTTGTGGATGTGGTGCCAATCGGGCGGGGGCTGCTTTGTCCTGGATGGTGTCGAGCTTCTTGAGTGTTGTTGGAGCTGCCCCTGTCCAGGGGCAAGTGGGGAGTATTCCATCACATTCCTGCCTTGTGCCTTGGAGATGGTGGGACAGGCTTTGGGGGGAGACAGGACAGGAGTTACTCGCTGCAGGATTCCCAACCTCTGACCTGTTCTTGTAGCCGCTGTGTTTATGTGGTGGGTCCAGTTGAGTTTCTGGTCAGTGGTAACCCCCAGGATGTTGATAGTGGGGCGGGGGGGTGGAGTTTGGTGATGGTAACACCATTGAATATCAAGGGGCGGTGGTTAGATTGTCTCTTATTGGTGATGGTCATTGCCTGGTATTTGTGTGGCATAAATGTGGTAGGGAGGGAAATATGGGAGTCACTCCCAGAAAAAGGTACGGTGGCTCAGTGGTTAGCGCTGCTGCCTCACAGTGCCAGGGACCCGGGTTCGATCCCACCCTCGGGTGACTGTCTATGTGGGTTTGCACATTCTTCCTGTGTCTGCGTGGGTTTCCTCCGGGTGCTCCGGTTTCCTCCCACAGTCCAAAGGTGTGCAGGTTGGGGTGGATTGGCCGTGCTAAATTGTCCCGTAGTGCCCAGGGATGTGCAGGTTAGGGTGGATTGGCCGTGCTAAATTGTCCCGTAGTGCCCAGGGATGTGCAGGTTAGGGTGGATTGGCCGTGCTAAATTGTCCCATAGTGTCCAGGGATGTGCAGGTTAGGGTAGATTGGCCATGGGGAATACAGGGTTACAGGGATAGAGTGGGGGGAAGTCAGTCTGGGAGGGATTGTCTTCAGAGGGTCAGTGTGGACTTGATGGGCCGAACAGCCTGCTTCCACACTGTATGATTCCATGAAAGAGTGGTCAAGGTGTACATAGCCTCGACAGGTTTAAGGAGGAACCCAGACAGTCAGGAGAAAGGCACAGAAGAATACACTCATGAGTGGGTGAGGTGAAGCGGGGTCAGGAGGAGAGCAGCTGGGCCAAATGGCCCATTTTCTGTTCCTGCAACGGTTTCTAAAATATAAGTGAGCTTCAAACTCATTTAAAGCTTCAGAATTAAAATATCAAATCAGTCTGCAAGCATACATGTCGCAATAATTTGTCCTCCATATTAAAAAAAATTCTTGCAATTTTCCAAATAAGTTCTCAAAAACTTTTTGTCCCACTTGCACTTTTGACCACTGAAACAAACTTTGCTGAGGTGACAGCCTCTACCCTCCCTCCTCCAGTGGCTCATTTCCATTGATCCATGGCTGTGATCGATGGCTGGACCCTCAGGGATGATTGGTCCTTAGAGCTTAAAAAGGGGAAGACAAGTTAGGATGTATTGGAAAGCCCCACCCTTCCCTGCTCTTAAAAGGCAAAGTTCTGGGGTTTGTTTGAAGAGGGGGGGGGGGGGGGGGAGGGAGGAGGGAGGAGAATGCATACTTTTTTAAAAAAAGGCAGTTTCAGCAACAGTAAATATTTTTCAAAAGTGATTAAAATATGAAGACTGGGCCATCAGGGAGAAAAAAAAAACACCATGACAATCTGCAAAGGCTCACTTATCAAACCAAATGTTTCCCCAGATCCCAACTCCCTCTGAGTGGAACTTAAAAAGCACTTTGTAGAAAAGAGATAACAAGGTGTAGAGCTGGAGGAACACAGCAGGCCAAGCAGTATCAGAAGAGCAGGAAAGCTGACGTTTCAGGTCTAGACCCTTCTTCAGAATAGTCTCCAGCATCGGCAGTTCCTACTAACTTTGAAGAAAAGTTTTGCAACTTACCTGACTTGAGTAACTCTACACAAATGTTACACTGGTCCTGCCCAGCTCTAAACAAAAAGCCTCGTTGATTCACGAGCAAAGATCCACATTTAGGTGCTGGTGGGGGAGAGTGGTGGATTTTAAAATGACTTATTTCTTTTAAAAACATTCAGTACTTGCTGTTTGACTCGTGATTTGCCTCTGTTCTCTGCCTCATTCCACCATCTTGCAAATATTTTGAATTCCTTAACTAGGATCAGATTGGAAACTAACTTGCTATTGGCTGTGATCCTTTTTGAAATCAGACAGTTCTCCTTATTGGGCCTCACCGGCTTCCCGATCCCCCCCCCCCCCCCTTTCCTCTGTCCTCTCGCCTCTTTTCATCCCCCTCTCCCTGATCCCCCACCTCCCTATCTCACTGATGTAATGGGTTTCAGGATCTGATGTGTGTAGAGAGAGAAATGGGAGAGTGCAGGAGGAAAATAAGTGGAGAGGTAGAGTGTGAAAATGAGACTGAGGGAGAGACAGTGAAACAAGACAGTGCAATAGTTTTATGAGATGGGGAGAGAGGTACATGGAACGAGAGTGAGGGATCATGAGAATGGCAGAGTGTGAGAGAGATAAGTGTCTAAGAGATCGATAATGCGACTGAGAGAGTGTGTGATGATAAGGGAAGGACTGATGGACTGTGACTCCTAGAAAATAAAGTGAGGGATGGCGATAAGAGATGTCGATGGTGAATGGCAGTGTGTGTGAGACAGATAGAGACAGTAAAGGGACAGAGAATCAGCTATGATCCTACTGAATGGTGGCACAGTCTTGGAGAGAGGGTGTGCTGAATGGCCTACTGTATTTCTTATGGTCTTCAAAGCAGTGTGTGCCAGTTGGATAGAAAGAGAGAGAGAGAGAACATGAGCCCGAGAGAGATGCAGAGTGTGAGAGTGAGATATGGAGAAGATGAAAGCGGCAGAGAGATCGAGATGTGGGAATGAGAGAGGGTTAGACAGCGAGACAGGCTGTGAGGATACAAAGATAAGGTATTGAGTATGAGAGTGACACTGAGAGAGAAAACGCAGAACAGCACTGCGTGAGGAAGTTTAAGATAAAGGATAGAAAGAGTGAGACGCAGAGAGGGAGAGACATTATGGGTTAGAGGAATAGATTGAGAGAGGGAGTTTATGTCATAGAAAAAGGGCCTTTGCCCCGTAAAGTCTGCAGCATTCAAAACAGCCACCCAATTATTCTATAACCACACCAAATACAACGTTAGCATTCATTTCGAGAGGGCTAGAGTACAAGAGTATGGATGTACTGCTGAGGCTGTATCAGGTTTTGGTCAGACCACATTTGGAATATTGTGAGCAGTTTTGAGCCCCGTATCTAAGGAAGGATATGCTGGCCTTGGAGGAGGTTTACAAGGATGATCCCAGGGATGCAGGGCTTGTCACATGAGGAGAGGTTGAGGACTCTGGGCCTGTACTCAGTGGAGTTTCGAGGGAAGGGTGGGGATGGGGGGGGATCTGATCGAAACTTTCTGAGAGACCTGGATAGAATGGACATAGAGAAGGTGTTTCCATGAGTAAGGGAGACAGGCACCCAAGGGCACAGCCTCAGCGTGAAAGGACGACCCTTTGGAACGGAGATGAGGAGGAATTTCTTCAGGCAGAGGGTGGTGAGTCTGTGAAACTCACTGCTGCTGAGGGCTGTGGAGGAAAAGTCATTGAGTGTATTTAAGACAGAGATAGATTGGTTCTTGATTAGTAAAGGGATCAGAGGTTACAGGGAGAAGGCAGGAGAATGGGGTTGAGAAACATATCAGCCATGATTGATGGTGGAGCAGACGCGATGGGCTGATTGGCCTAATTCTGCTCGTATATCTTATTTTCCAGCGCTTGGTCCATAGCCTTGGCAACACAAGTGCGCACCTAAATACTTCTTCAGTGTGGTGAGGGTTTCTGTATCTTACCAGCCTTACTGGCAGTAAGTTCCAGATTCCCACCACCCTCTGGGTGAAATAGATTTTCCTCACATCCCACCTAAACCTCCTGTCCCTTCCCTTATATCGATGTCTCCTGGTCATTGATGAGGAAAACGATTTCTTCCTGTCTACCCCTGTCTATGCCCCTCATTGTTTTAGACACCTCAATCATGTCCCCTCTCCATTGCCTCTGCTCTAAGGAACCAACCCCAGTCTGTCCAATCTCTCTTCATAACTGAAACTCTCCAGACCAGGCAATATCCTGCTAAATCTCCTCTGCTTCAGACCAGGCAACATCCTGGTAAATCTCCCCTGCTCCAGACCAGGCA